CTTTAATCTTTAACAAGTAACTTAAGCATTTCATAGACAATTCACATCAAACACGGCCTGCAGCCACACAGTGTCTGGTTTCTCAGATTAAAAGAAGACAATCCACATCCCCCTCTCTGATTGCCATAACACCTGTGCTAAACTCAATTTACAGATGCACTGAAGTATCTTGTCGTCACAACAATTAGGTGATGCCCATGTCTCCCTGCCCCCTCTGGCATATTTTGTGCCTGTCATGGGTTACCATGCTCTAATCTGTGCCAAAAATATCTCACAAGCACATGGTCCAGGGAGTTCATGCTGTCATGGTTCTCTGAAGAACAGGAATAAAATGGCTTTAATAGGTGTTTATTTTCAGCACACCCTCAGTTCACATGAGAGCAGGCCTAAAGAGGTCTAAAGAATGAAAGCTAACAGACATGTAGGAACACAGGATCCAAGACTTTTATGTGTATCCTCCTCATCTCATGACAGTGTGCTCGTCAGCCTGTCAGCAGCGTCTGGAGCTGATTTTATTCAAAAGTACACATTCAGCAATTCTGCCTGAACAGACTACCTATCAACTCAGCTGTCAAGTGCTGTCACATGAGAGAAAAAATGTTGTCTGATTTTATTATTTACCATGTGGGTTAGGAAGAGTTCACAGAGACATTGACCACACTGCATTTTTTTCTTTTAAAACATTTTATCTGTAACACCTCTCTGTAAATATTTTGGCTAAATTATTTTATTTTATTTTTACTTTATTTTTATTTTTTCAGGTTACATTGTAACACCAGTAGGTGGCAACAAGTCTTTATGACTGAGTTGTTCAATCATTCACTCAACCAGTTTGTTGAAAAAACACTACAACGCAATTGCTCGAAGATAAGCATTTAATTCTGCTGTTGCTTTGTTATAAAACAAAATATAAAAAAGCATTGTATTCTAAATTGTAGAATCATTTAAAATTTAAGTTAACATACTGTAAAATGTTTTATATATAAGTATGTAAAACGTAGTAATTATATATTATTTAAATTGTATTTTATTATATAAGGTACACGTATTGTAACTTTTGGCCCTCTATTGGTTAAAAAAACAAAGTTTTATGTATTTTGTAGAAGAACATTATTTTGGTTGAGCTTCGGTTCTGCATGACTGTGTGGATGAATGGTTCTTTCTCATAATTAAAAAAAGAGAGAAATGATCCTACTGCTCATAAAACATTAAAACACTGCTCATAAACTACTAGCCTTAAGCGATATAACCAGATTAGATGAAAAGGATCTCAAGCTTAGCTGAGGACATTATTTCAGGTAAACACCATACTTCCCAACAACCCATAATGAAATGACCCTTCACAGCAGATAATGATTTACTATGAACTCATTTACAATGTTTTTACAATGAATTTACAATGTTAGAGAGCTACATATGTCGATTTTTTTCGGTTCAATAAAAAAACTTTTACAACATTTCAAATCCCCCAGTTCTCGCCTTCTCCAAATAGCCAATGTTGATTTAATTTTATTATGAGCTCTGTGACCGTCCCATTCTCTTTTTGCTATCATATTTAGTTTGCCCCAGGCCACCTTTCTCTATCGTCGTTGTGACAACTAACCTGAGCTACTCCTACATCATACAAGGATATGACAAGGCATGCACGGGCGAGTGGTCGTATGCAATTTCCTGCAAAAAAGCAGGGTAAGACAAAAACTCGTTTTGGAAGAAGGACTGATTATGTATTTATTAATTATTTAAATTGTTAATTTTTAACAAAAAAAAAATTACATGGCGTAGCCAACCTTTAACTGTCAATAATATTATTATATTTTACGTTAACTGTTTGTATGATCTTTGGTCAGTTTTATTTAAAAATTCCCATTAAATCTTGACACACCTGTACTGTAAAAATGAATATGCTTTATCTAATCAATAAAATTGTGGCAACAGATTACAAGCAATATTATTTATTAAATTGAACAAATTAGAATTGAGTAATAGTTAATCAAATTAATATTCTAATTAATTCTAATTTGTACAATTTAATTAATAATATTGCTTGTAATATGTTGCCACAATTTCATTGATTATAGATAAAGCATATTATTTTTTTTCAGTGTGTGTTCTCGCAAGTGTAGAGGAAGACTGGTTCTATGGTAGCTTTGGAGAAGGGTCAAAGCACTGTTTTTCAGTGTGTAATGTTTCGAATCTGACTGGGTTAGGCAAAACATAATGTGCCTCACTGAACTTCAAAATTGTGATGATGCCATTACAGATTTATTGAATCATTTGGGGTTGAGAGACTTCTGACCACATGCATATATTGAACATCATTTCAATTTCAGGCAAACATACATAATTACGAAACATTTTATTTCCTGTCTTTACATCTGAAGCATTGTACCATGGTGACTTTGACCTCTTTCCCTCTCCTCTGTTTAAGGGGAACGGACAGTTCTCCGTCCTTGATTGTTTAAGTAAGCTATCAGGAAATTAGTTTTCCTTCTCTTAATTTAGTTTGCCTTTGTTATGAGCCAAAGGATACGTAGACACACATACACACTTGACTGGTCTTTGTACTTTTGTGTGTGTGTGTGTGGAGGGGGAGGAGGCACATTGATGGTGAAAGGAAGTAAGTAACTATGGGCTACAAATATAGTTAAAGGGTTAGTTCACCCCAAAATGAAAATTCTGTCAGTAATTACCCATGTTGTTGCAACCCTGTAAAACTTTCGTTCATCTCCGGAACACAAATTAAGATATTTTTTTTATTAAATCTGACAGCTGGATGTCTTTAATAACTTAATTGGGCCACCCAATTTCGATCCCTTAAGAAACCTATATAGAAGTGAGCTCTCAGATTTAATCAAAAATATCTTAATTTGCGTTCCAAAGATGAGCGAAAGTCCAGCTAGTTTCATGTTGTGAAAGTGTGCAAGAGTCCACCAGGGAGGAGACGGTGTCACTGTAGTCCTTTCTGTGTTTCTTCTCCATTAGCCACAGTAATATAAATGTCACCTTCTTAGAGACAAGATAAAATAGAGCCCTCATTATCTCCTCTCAGGGTGAAATGCCGTAGCTGTGTCATGGTCAAAAATAGGCCACTCTTACTTCCCTGAGTAAGAGGGGAAGAGTGCACACTGGATTTGCTTAGAATACTCCTTCCTCAAGCTGCTTATTGTGACACCACTTATGGAGACAAAAAGTAATAAGACATGACTGAAGTTCTGTTTAAGACCATATTATAATGCTAAAACCATATGCCATTTTAGTATCCAATAGGGATGTCACGGTACCAACATTCCAGCAGTCGATACCGATACCTTTAAAATTTTACGGTTCTCTGTACCAATTTCGGCACTACAGTTTGAACTGTTTTTCCAATTTATTTAACCTTTTGAAGAAAATATTAAATTCAATTCAATGACTTTATTATTTATGACAGTAAATTTATGAAAGCATTGAAGGCTACATGCTGTTTAATTGAAAATATTGATGATATTGAAAAAAAATTGCTTATAAAAAATCAAGTAAAAAATAAGCAACATTATTATCATCATTATTAATAGTAGTATTTTTAATTAATGGATGTTGTAATACTGTTACCATGTTTATATAAGGCTGATTGATATGTACATTGTCATAGGATTTTTTTTATGAGGCTCATAAGGCTCATAATTCATGTCCGCATATTTAGCCTAGTTATTTGGTGCGTAGGCCTATGTAATAAGCGTTATGATGTACGGTTAATGTGCATTATCCATTAGCAGTATGTCACTGTACATTCAAAAAAGATTTAGCTACACGATTGTCTCATAGATAGTGGTGACTGTATGAGCAGGTTTGTAGGTGGGCTGTCAGTGAGTTGAGCCTTGTGTGCTGAAGGCAGCCAAAGAAATCCATTTTAAATTAACTGGACCCTAATACCAAGTCTAGGTCCCTCTCCCCCACTCTAATTTCTTCTTTTGAAGTCTATTCCAACTCAGATTGCATGAATATCCATGCGTCTGATGTTCTCTCCCACTGACCTGTGATTACAGCTGCGGTAAGAGCAGACTGTGGGGGTTGGAGAGAGAACTATTTCTATAATGTTGAAAACAATATTCATTTAATCACCGAAAATGACTCACATGGTTAACCAAACTGTCCAGAGTTGAGAGACACTGCAGCCTGAAATAATCAGTCCAAATGAATGGAGCTGTATGGTGACTTATGTCATTGAAAGGTCATATCTATAGAGCTAGAACATCCTACAAACAGCTCTCATTAAAGGCTTGTGTCAGACTCACAAAGTTCATTGGACAACAATGAAAAACAATGACTCTGTCAGACACAAGCTGTCAATTTTTAAAAATGTAGTTATGGTCAGTCTCATAACAGCAAGTGCCAGTCAAAACTTGAGTCAGAATCTGCAGTTGTGAATGTGAAAATGTTGCAGTGAAAAGACATGACTCATTTTTTGTAAAATATTAGCCATAATACTAATAATATTGTTATTAGCTTTTGTATAAAAGCCATTCATTTTAGCAAATATCAGCTCTTTGAGCAGGTTCTTTGCCCAGTTTGATCTAAGAGCATTATCAATATTAAAAAATCCCAGAGGGATGGTGGGCATTCACTGAGAAATATCACTACTGGAACTTTCTATCTCTTAAAACACACAGTAGGGCAACATAATATTGCAAATATCACCATATGACACAGGAAAAACAAAACAAACAACAACAAAAAAACAGTTGTTTATTTTAAAGCACTTTGAAAGTTGTTGTAAAATTTTGGATCAGCCTATTTTACAGGTCTGTTTACAATATTGCATCCTAAATCACAGCTACAGATGAATAATATGAGGCTGACTGGACCATGCTAATTAGCCGAACCCCTTGTCTCCAGATTTTAAAAATATCCTTTTAACAATATCCAGTTCATTGATGGCATCATCTGTGCTATAATTTGTGGTGGAATTAGTATTAATCTGTGATGTTTTGTGGTATGGTGTTGTTATTGGTTTATTTCAGATAAAAATGCAGTCGGTATGGACATGTCACGCAAACAGACGATGAAGAGGAAGATCAGGTTAAAAGTCTTTAATAACACCAGGGAAGCAAATCCAAATAACACAGGTGAATACACACAACCAAACATGAATGTGAACTGAAAACTTAACACTTAAAAAACTGCAACTTAAATACAAAGCAAATGAGGGAAGTAATGACAAACACTTGTGATGATTAATGAATCTCCATATAAGTAAATGGCTGGAAACTAAACAAAGGACAACAGGAACTAATGAAAGTCGGTGGCACTGAAGACGAAGGCAGAGCCGCGGTGTTGAGCTTCTGAGGTGGAACCAGAGTACAAGAGGACTGAGGTGGAGTCGGTGGAACCGAGCACCGCACAGCAGAGTCCGTGGCACAGGCAGGGGGATGACTGACCAGGGTGGTGCTTGAGGGACGAGGGAACCCAGTGGAGCAAGCCGGGGATCCACTCGCATTTATTTGAAATTAATCTCGACATTTTTCAAAATGAATCGATTTGTTTTAAAAACGAATCGCTATATATTTATTCAAAACAAATAGCTACATCCATCCAAAATGAATCGATTTGTTTAACCTGTTAACCTTCAGCTCCACAAGGGGGCTCACAGCTGAAAATGACATGCCTGGATAACAATAAATACAGCTCCTGAGAACAGTGTACCACAGGCACAATTAAGGTATCTTTGGAAAGAAGACAGTTGGGACTCTACTAACAATCAATCAGATTTGATAATGCTCAAACAGAAAAAAAGTTATAAAAGTTAAAAGTGCCTCAAAAATAATGTGCGCCACAAAAATGTTTTAGTATTTCATGTACAAATATATAAAAATAGACCTGGAGTAATTCAGATAGATAAAGGATTGAAAGCCACAAGTCTCATCAGTTTATATTTCAAATTTGAGGAAGATATAATGAACAATGGGGTTCCTGCAAACTTTTTTCCAAGACTATGTCAGTTCCCTTTCTCCCTCCCCCTGCCTGAGGCACATCCCCAGAAATAACATGCCCAAACTAAAATATTTGCAGTTGCTCAACTATTTGCACTACATGCACAATTTAGACATGTTTAAAAAGAAGACACTTTAGAGTGTATTACCCAACTGTTAAAGTTGAAAAAACTTACACAGACAAAAAGTTATAGAATGTAAAGTGTCTTGAAGATAATTTATACTGCATGTAATATTTTACAATTTCATGTAAAAATAAATGAAAACAAACCTGTAGGAATCCAGTAAGGTAATTTATTGAAAGACATAAGTCTCATCAGTTTATATTTCAAATTTGAGGAAGATATTATGAAAAATGAGATTCTTACAATATTTTTTCCAAGACTATGTCCAGGTACCAAGAAACCTCCTTGGATACATCAAAAAGCAACCTAATGACCAAATGTTATGCAGGGCACTGCAAGCTATTTCAGTCAATTCATAAAATAATGCAATTATAAAATAATACACACAACCATTAGACTTTATGCAAGTGATTTATTTGCACAACAGAACAAAAAAATATATATGTAAAATACATAAGTAAAATATTATGAAATATAAAAAATAAATAACTGAGGTTCTTTGCAATAGAAAATACAAGTGATATAAATACTGTACTTTGTTGGCTTGGCCTTCATATATTGCTTTAGTCCATTCCTAGCTTTTGATGCCACCATTCTCTTGTCAATTGCAATGTTCTGAAAAGTATGGAAAAAGTGAAGAATAGTGAAGAAACTGAGAGCTTGCATCTCTGGCTGGTGCTTGGATGCCATTCATCATCTGAAGATTCAACTTGATGGCTGTTGCATGGGAAAGAATGGAAAGATAATTAGCACTGCATGTCAAGTAAATAATTCTGTTTAGTTTCTATATAGCTGGCCATTCATTCAACAATCAAACTGATGGGCAGTCGTTTACACAACATTCGTACTAAAGCTCATCCATTCATCAACAATCAATGGCCAGTGATATAGACAGCATTCATATGGATGACCAGACAAAGAACCAACAATCACACTGATGGCCGGCCATCAGACAGGAATATGTGCCATTTTGAAAGCATACAACTCCTTCCTATATAGCACATATTTTCTGCAATTCTTCCCACCAATTTCTGCAAAAAAAAAAACAATATATATATATATATATATATATATATATATATATACATACAACATACATCATATAGTACAAATATTTGCATTTGTACTATAAATATTATGTATATTAGACTGTAAAAATATACAGTATGTGTGCTAGGAAAAAATGTATATTGCACAGGTGTCCAGCCCCTCCATCCTTCAGATAGCACACCACATGTGCCAGAAAAAAACGGCAAACAACTGCATAACCGTACAACGCATAAATACATATATACAAATAAATAAATGCATATAAAGTAGCATAATCTTTTCAGACACAACTTTACACAATGCATTTTCCGTATGAAACAACTGGAAACCAAACACACTCTCTCTCTCTCTCTCTCTCTCTCTCTCACCCACCCACACACACACACACATACACACATACGTATAATGTGTGCATGTTACATAAGTTATGTATAAAGCAACTCACCGAAAATTGGATAATCTTTTCCGTCCTCAAGCATAATTATCACCGTCGTCACGATCTTCTCATCACTCATCTTCTCATCAATGTCGACATAATCCATCTTCGAGTGATCTCGAATAGCTACTACTTCAGCAGAAAAATACTTCTTTTGACAAATCATTTTATGACAGTCTGCATGTCTGCACGAACAGATGTTTGTTGACTAGCTACCTCTTAGCTTGTTATCTTAGCTCTTAGCTATAGCAGGCCTGTCAAAACATGACCGCGGTGGGTGTGGCTCTGCAGAGCCTGAAGTTTAGCTCCTCTACCGGACGGAGAGCAAATAAAAACATATGTTCGTGTGAGAAATTCAAACTTCCCGGGCATCGTTGGAATCGTGCACTGGTTGGCTACATGTTTTATCAGTCATATCATGTCGTTTCTTTTATTGGCTTTCGTTGTAAAGACAGAATGATATGATGTGCATATCATGACGTCAAAAAAACGGACTGCAGTGTTTGCATATTTTGAACTAGATATCGCTTATCTTTGTATTTGTGTGTGTGTGCGCGGTCGTAATGTGTTCATTACACTCTAAGCAACACACCCATATAAGGGTCTGCTACCGGGAGTCTGTTTTCTATGGACTATTTTATTGCATAACAAAACCGCATGATATTCACCCTGAAGAAACGCGATGTAAACAAAGGAATAACCATGGATATTACAACATTATTTTTTCTTTGGACAAAAAATGCTCTATGGGATGTTATTCAGTGGACCCTCAGCTTTCCATTCAATCTGGAATTTTTAACAGTGGATGCGTGTCTGGCTCGTTATTACAAAATAATGGTGAGTACTCCGTTTTTGTTTACGTGCGTTTTTATGTGTACTGCTTACCTAAATGCAAGAAATACATTTGTTATAAGCTTTCCATCGAAAAACAGTGCACTGACATCGATGCCCGAGGCTTAGACCTTTAAAATTATATATAGTTTGCCAAGATTAATGATCTTCTTTCATGTTAAATCCATTCATAAACATTAAACTAGTGGGGGGGGGGAGGGCTTCAGAGCGCCGTCGGTTGCCCGAAGGTTAACTGGTTAATCAAAACAAATAGCTACATCCGAAATGAATCGATCATTTTCTGAAAGAAGAATTTTTCAAAAAGAATCGCTACTTCTCCTAAATCAAAACCTTATTTTGTCTAAAAAGAATCACTACTTTTTTACTACTTTTCCTAAAAAGAAAAGTTGATTTTCTTAAAATGAATTGCTACTTTTAAAAAGAATCACTTCTATTCCATAAAAGTACAACGCATTCTCACCCCAAGGCGTCACCTTTGACCATGCTTCAATATTTGACGTTTTAGGCGCCCTTTAGCGTCACTTACATGACGCGATCCTACGGCGTCATCTAACTGACGCTAAAGGAAAGCGTCAGTTAGAGGACGCGGTTAGGTTTAGGTGTGGGGTGGGGGTAGGGTACACGCGATCCTAGGGCGTCATCTAACTGACGCTAAAGGGCGCCTAAAGCGTCAGATATTGAAGCATGTCCAAATGCTTCCCAAGGCGTCAGTTAGGTGACGCCTTGGGAGTGAGAATGGGCTGAAAAGTAAGGCTAATTTTCTTGATGAATCGCTTTTCAAAAAGAATCTATATGTATTTTCAAAAAAAATAGTTACTTACATCCATACGAAATAAATCAATATGCTATACTTTTATAAAAAGAATCGCAATAATAGCTACTTTTCCTAAAAGGAATAGCTACTTTATCAGAAAGAATCACTGCTTTTCCTAAAAAGAAATGCTATGAATCGCTACTTTTCAAAAAGAATCTTTACGTATTTTCAAATGTAATAGCTAAAAAGAAATGCTAATTTTCTTATAAATAATCGCTACTTTAAAAAAAATAATTGCTACTTTTTTCAAAAAAGAATTCCTACTTTTTCCAAAATGAATCGCTACTCTTTTAAAATGAATTGCTACTTTTTCAAAATGAATCACTACTTTCTTAATACAGTTTTACATTTATTTAAAATACATACAATCACCACTTTTTCTAAATGAATCGCTTCTTTTTCAAAATAATTAGCTACATTCATAATACATTTGTACATTTAAAATAAATCAATACATACAATCAACCACAATTTAAAAAAGAATCCTTACTTTTTAAAAAAAAAGACTCGCTACTTTTTTAAAATGAATCGCAACTTTTTCAAAAAGAATCGCCTCCTTTTTAAAAAGAATCCCTACTTTTTCAAAAAAGACTCGCTACTTTTTTAAAATGAATCACAACTTTTTCAAAACGACTCGTTACTTTTTCAAAAAGAATAGCAACTTTTTCAAAAAGACTTGCTACTTTTTCAAAAATAATAACTAGCCTATTTTCAAAAAGAATAATGTAACAAAATAATAATGTAACATTTTTTTAAAATTATTAATAATGTAAAAACATAATTAACATGATTACATTTTAATAAATGTTTAATAAGACTGTAACAAATCTATAATTACATTATTTTACACAACTTTTTTTCAAAATGAATCACTACTTTTTCAAAGACCCACTAATTTTTCAAAAATAACTATTTTTTTTTTCAAAAAGATTGTGACAAAATAATAATGTAACAAATGTATAATGAATGTATAATTACATTGTAATAAATGTATAATAAGACTAACAAATGCAACTACATTATTTTACACTACTTTTTCAAAAAGAATCGCTACTTTTCCTAAAATGGCCTGCCCCATTCTAAAAAGAAATGCTACATTTTGCAATATGAATCAATTCATTTATTCCAAATGAATACCGAATAAGTTCAGGATATTTGCTATTCAGTCAATTTCTGTGTCAGCCTAGTTGTTCTCGCTTTCTCCATGGTAAGACTAAACCATCAGCAATAATCAAACTTATGCCATATGCCATTTTGAACCTCTGTCATATGCTGCCAACTCTAACTAATTATTTAATAATTATCTAATACTAATTATCTGTTTAAATTCAGAAGGGAAGCT